TTATAAATACAATTTTTGCTTTCTTTTCATCTCGGAGATATTAATTTGAACGTGAAGAGTAAGTTATTTACAAGGTCGCCAAATGATTTCAGTTCGGCCCTGAGCTGAGATCTCTATCTATTCTTTCACAGGAACAGGTTTTGAGGAAGAAATTGAAGATCAAATTTATGAGAAAGTAGATAGTGAAGAAAAAAAGTGTTCCGCGCGAATAAAAATGGATTGAGAAGGAATCCATGACTACGATAGTAAGAGTTAGGAACAGAAAGAAGAGAACAGCAAAAATGCAAGTGGGAATACATCCTGGAAATATAAACGTTGGTAAGAAAATGTTGCTAATAATTTTTGGCTTAGATGTATATTCTTATCAACGATATTTTCGTGGTGGTGGGGGTTCATTTGACAGTGTTCTTATTTTATGTCATGTGGCTAATCATGTATCTCCACAACTTCCTATCTTTTGTAGCTCTAAGCAATGTTGGCTTCTTTACTTTCACTCCAAGTCCCTTTCCTGCCACCTATTTACAAAAACTCGTTAGGTAGGTTACTCTTTGTTTCTCTCTGATTCTCTTGCCTTTAATATGCCTTGGGTGTGACGAATTCGCTACTTTTTTTGCAGAGATGGGTGTTCAAGTTTTATGGAGATAAACCGGATACAACATATATGTTTTTTCATTTATTACTTAATTCCGGAGATAGGGACCACATAAACATATATTTGATGAACACAATATCCCATATACCTGAATAAAACTATTGTTTTATCATTTTACATATTAATATAGGAGCATTCACATTCTACAATATTAATAAGTCTTTCATTCATTGTTTTTATTAAAATGTCAACTGCTTCAAATTTAATATTACTTGCAATACTTTTTATTGCTCCACATAATTCTTCTTTGCTGGAATACTGTTTTTCATTCTCATATATATCTTATTAAATGATGAAGGACAAGTTTTCAATTTGTCATTCCATTAATATAAGAAAACTAAGGTGAGCAATTTTAAGAATTGCAGAATTTTAAGGACCATCGACTTTTATCGACTGAATTAATTCTTCTGCTTGAATTTTATTGGTTGTGACTTGCATCCTTCAAAAAATGCCCCATCCAAGAATTTTCAAATTATTCTCTTCTTTTATCGTATCTTCAAAATATAGTTTGACTGTCTATAATATTCGTCCAAAACATTACACCACTAATTCCCACAGTCTTAGTAGTTATGTTAATTGATGAGTTCTATAAAAGATTCAACCTATAACCTAGAACTTGGAATCATCCAATTTAAAATAACAAAAATATTGTTTAAAAATCATTTTACATGTACTTTTTCTCCTAACGTACATGGTTCTCTATGTGATGTTTACTGAAAGATTGTATTTTGGTTACTTTCATGAATTTAACCAGCGTTTTTAATATTCCGCAAATTTTCTATTTGCATTTTGTACGTTTAATATTTCTATTTTCTGACATTCTTAAAACCATTTTGCCTGCTATTTCAGTTTCTGTGATTTTTGTTCAAATTTTTCGCAATTACCAAATTTGTCTTCTTCTTATTCAATAACTTTACTATGTCTTCTTTCTCTTTTGATGTTATACCTTTCTTATTAGCCATGTATATATATATATATATATATATATATATATATATATATATATTAAAGGAAAAATTTATGTAAAAAAAATAGATTTTAATGCTTGATAGTAATTTAGATATCTAAAAAAAAAACCGAAGAAATTAATTTGATGTTTACTAGCAATTTAAATATTTAACTTTTTGACAATATTTAATATAAGTTAAATACTGTATTTATTAACACATTTATAGAGAACATATTAAAGGAATTTTAAACTATAACAGTTTGTTTACCCGACCAATAGTACTTTTGTAATATTGTAATAGACAGTTACGGTAACATCTTTATCAGTTTGAATCTAATTTATGAAGGTAATTTGTAATTATTTTTAGATGGGTACATAAATTGCTAAAACCCATTTACAACCTCTTTCTCTTTACTTCCCTCTCCCTCGTTTTTGTTTTCCCTTTATCTTTTCTCTTTTCCCCCCTCCAATTTCAATATATCACTTACGTTAAGTTAACCGTTTAAATAGGTCAAGGTCTGGTCACTTCCTCCTCCCCCAATATTAAGTATGATCGAGAGAAATATTAAAATAAACCCTCTCTAAACTCTACCATGTCTCTTTAACCACTCCTTATTACCCTCTCTGTTAAATTACAAAAACTTACACTACCCATCAATTTTCATTTCATTTTTCGTTTCATTTTTGGAAGTTCTATCTGATGATATGGCGTCCTTTAAAAGGACTCTGGTGAAATAAATTATTATAATGGTACCTTAAAGTGGTCTGTTTTTCTTTAAAATATTAGCTCTGGATTTACATTGAGCTCTCAGGATTTCATCCTCCTTGGGATTACCCATAATGATTACCAAGTTTTTCATAACTTAATTATATATATATATATATAAATATATATATATATATATATTCACTTGGTATATTTATCATAGTATATCTTAATGTCTTAGTATATCTTAAAAATGATATGGATTTCTATTTAATTTCTGGGATAAGGAGTTATCAATATTTGGATTCAGAATATAGTCCTTTGTCGTTGTTGTTATCATCACGTTTTAGTTGTTGTGCTCTCCGGATTTCGATACCTGTTTGACGATCCTGGAAATGAGTGAATTTCAAACTAAACCCTTTATCTAATATTTGCGGCCATAATTTGTCCTCATTCTGCTGTCAATATATCTATGGATATCTCGTCGTGTTTAATTTAATATTGCTCAGTTATAGTTGGCCCTGAGTTACCACGACATGAGTATTGAATTTTCTGACACCAGATTTATGAACCCCAACTGGTTTGGGACAATCCTGAGTTTAGAACTTAGTCTCTTAATGTTCTTCTATCCAACCCACGACCTACAATGTTTCTCTTTTCTTAATATCTTCTTGGATAACCCTAGACATTGAGAGCAGAATGAGAACAATACAGTAGTATAGATTAAATAAAGGGTTCAATTCGAAATTAAGGTTACTTGGATTGTGATACACCTGAAGAAGGCCGGAGGACACCACGGCTGAAACTTTGGGATACTAACAAAGAAGATGAGGACAATACTTAGAATATATATAATTCGATCGTTTAATAACAGTGTTATTGCGAAAACTTTAATTTGTGTAATAAAATCTGATACAATTGAATAAATTTACTTGCGAAAGTCAATGAGTAAAGATAATTTCCATACAGTACCATATTTTAAAATTGCCTTTACTTTCTGATTTGCCGGCGTAAAGATGAAAAAAGAAATATGTTTGACTAATTTTTGAAAATTCTAGAAAAGAAAACGTGAAAAAGAAATAAAGAGTAGAATTTTTTTTAATAGGTTACCCCCCATTCAAGGCAGTAAAGCCACTAAGACACAAGAGAGTTACAGGGTATGGAGGAATTAGGAAACAGAAATAATAATAATGGACGGGAAGAAAAAAGAGTAATCAGGAGGACAGTAGATAGCGATTAACATTTCATTTAAATTTTACAGATTAAAGTTAGCTAGAAAGCATTGAGACGGGAGGGAGTTCCACAAGTGAGAATTGCGAATCTGTTATCATATAACTCTAGTGCTGCGCTTAAATTCAAAAAGTCGAGGAACCATAAGATGTCATCCGAACAATTACCATGAAAGTATCTATTGAAAAGACGCAGGGAGGCAAGTGATTGAAGCCGAGGAATAAATTAAAATAAACAAAAGTAAATAGAAGAGAAATAAAATGAATGAAAAATTAAATAATATTCAAGAAATGAAACAGAGTGAAGAAAAATATGAAAGCGCAGTGAAGGAATAATTTTTAAAAAGAAGAAATTATTCCAAATGATAAAGGAATGAGTTCAATGAAAGAAAAATTAAAAAGTAAGGAAACAAATAAAAAAGAAGAAAGGTGAGTTAATTCAACCGTGAATTAAAAGTTAAACAAGAATTGGAACAAAAATAACGTAAGTAAAAGTGATTTTATGTAATGATTTCTTACTAATAAGAAACAATGAAATATAAGGGAAAAACTTCCGAGGAAAGGTTTAATCGAAGGAGAGTGTCAATCTCGCCATATAAAAAAAACGTCATCGTCACAGAAAGAAAGAAAGAAAGAAAGAAAGAAAGAAAAAAAGAAAGAAGAGGGGTTATTGAATTGAGAAGAAGTAAAATGAACAATGCAAAAAGAATAATATATTTAGTTTAGGATGGGAGTATTGGCTATCCATTGAAGATGAAACTCGAATTACAGGAAAACGATATGTGATCGTTTATCCTAGCAGAATATTGCTCATGTAGTGACTTGTCGTGGCTGAGTTCACTATTCTTCTTTTCTCATTGCAGTTCAAGCTGCAATCATTTGTAAAATAAGCATGAAGATATCCGCTCAGCATAGCGTGATTGCAAGGGAGTCTAACTAATCTATATGTAGTACAATCCTTTCGAGGTTTCACTCAGTCTCAGTGAAATTAACTCAATCTTAGAGGTTATATATATATATATATATATATATATATATATATATATATATATATATATATATATATATATATATACTCATCCTTTCTGATTCCCTTGCGTCTTCTTTATAATTTATGTATTTCCTTTTATTTTCGTTTACTTCATGACCATTTCTGGCTTTTACTTTAATATTGACTTATTTTTTCCAGCCTGATTCTTAAAATGAAACTCACATGGTTTCCATTTCCCGCCTTTTTGTGCTGTGTATTTTACCACATTCCCGCCTTTTGAATCGTTTTTAAATAAAGCAGCAGGTAGCAGCATTAAGAACAACCTTGTTCAGATTGTAACTTCGATATTCACTGGGTACTCTATTATTATGGCCTTGTACCACATTAAGCTAAATTTCGGAAATAACCTTCAAGCAAGTCACGTTTCATAGGGCAATGTTTCGTGAATGTCTCGCTGTACCGTTCGCTTATAGAGTGGTTGTTTTATTTTGTTATTTTTTCGTTTTTTTTTTCTTTTTGGTTTTTCTGTCTTCCTTTCTTATTTTCTTTATCCGATTGGCTATTTCTTTCATTTTTACTTTTTCCTATCAATTTTTTCTTTTCAGTTTTTTTTCTTTTCTTTTTTCTGCGTTTCATTTCTGGTTTTTGCATACTTGGCGTTTTTTCTGTATTTCCTCTATAGCCTTTACCCTTCAACTTATTTTCCTCCTTTTTTATTCTTTTTCTTTATCTTCCTCTTTTACCATTCTTCTTCTTCTTCTTCTTCTTCTTCTTCTTCTTCTTCTTCTTCTTCTTCTTCTTCTTCTTTTTTTCTATTTTCCCCTCTAGTTTCTTCTTTACAGCTTACGTTTTCCCCCTTTTCTTCGTCTATTCATTCCCCCATGTGTTTCTTTTTCTTTCTGCTATTCTTTCCCTCTTGTTTCTTCTTTTTTACCGCTTGTTTTTCCTCTTCTTCTTCTTCTTCTTCTTCTTCTTCTTCTTCTTCTTCTTCTTCTTCTTCTTCTTCTTCTTCTTCTTCTTCTATTATTTCGCTCTTGTGACTGGTCTTCTTCTTCTTTTATTGTTTCCCTCTTGTCTTTGCTCTTCTTTTTCTTTTTCTCCTTCTATTATTTCCCACTTGTATTCTTCTACTTCTTCTTTAAACCAATCTATTTATTCAATTCCTTTCCTTATCTGCCATTTCTCCATTTGTTTCCTTTCCCTGTCAATTCTCTTTCCAACCCACCCAGTTTTTTTTCTCTTTCAGCTTTGTTCTTCTATTTGATCAAAAGAATCCTTAAATCATTGACTCATAAATTGACATATCCTAAGACAGAACGTTCCAGAACCCAGATACTTTCATTATTTTTTCTTCGTCTTTCCCCACCCGCCACGAATGCATTCCCTATGCATTCCTCAATGTCGTACACAATGTACATCATTACAGGTATTCGTATTTGATGTGATATGTGCAGCTGCATCACAAAACGCCACCGGCAGGAAACCAAAGCACCTTCGGAATGTGGGTAGACGTACCTGAAAATCTTTGGAACTGACGCTTTTGTCCACAGTGGTTCTCAGATATATATATATATATATATATATATATATATATATATATATATATATATATATATTCAATTTCTCCAACTTTGAATATAGATGTGTTGGTAAAAAATTAGTTTTCATAGAACTATATATTTGGTTTTTCAATGATATTCTTACATAATTTCGTGCAGGCCAATACAAAATATACATATTTTTGTGTTAGATTTTAATAGTAAAAATCGTTATGTAATTGTTTACATAATAGGCATTTTCTGTCAATAACAATTAAACTTTGATCAACGAAAATATTGTTTTTTTATAATATAATTATGACCAATGAATACATATAAGACTGTTTCAGTAATATTTGCATTATTTCATAATTTATAAAAGTCCTTTCTTTCTGATTTTCAAATGATTAAAGATACATTTAACACATACATATTATAACTTTTTCAGTAACACTTGAATTAATTAACGGCCATTGACTATTGCTTACGTTCTCAGTGTGTTCCTATACAACGATCACTTACAAAACATTTGTATAGTAAAACACTAGAAATTATTTTTCGTTATCCTTTTACTGTAGACAGTACCTTTAATTCATGACAAGGGATAATTCTTTTTTCCTGTTTGAGATTTTAAGCGTCAGGGGATTATCAAAATTTTAACATGTGATACCAGATTCACTACATTATGGTTGGAAGCTCTATATTTTTTTTAATATATTCACGTATGTTTATTTAATTGGCATCATTCAAATGTCAATTGTTACCATTTAAAAACTGGTTATTACCATTCAAAGATTAGTTGGTAGCATTTAAAAATTAGCTGTTACTGTAATATTAGTGTTGTAACATTACATTTTTTCAACTCCAGACTTTGTCAAATACTGTCGGCCAGTGGATATATGGCCCTGACAACCTTCCCCGAACGCAGATTCTAAATCCTACTAGACTGGTAATTCTATCTGTTATCTACCGGTTATTCTCCCGGTTACCTTTTTTTTTTCTCAATTGTGCACATATTGGGGCATCTTGGACTACCACGTGTTTACATGTCGGGGGCGACTGCTGATATCGGATAAATGTGAGGAACATCACTAGGAGGGAATTTCTAAGAATAATCAGCCGATACATTTGGCTTCTCTAAAGGACATTGAGTGCAAAGTCTATTTTAGCCTAATCTATGGTGATTCAAATACTTTTACTATTAAAAAAAAAACCTTTATACTGTCATCTTTGATTTTATCACAGATATTCGTCAAATGTACTCTTTGACTACTTTTAGTTCAAAGAATTTCTGAACGGACATTTTGGTGATGACCAGAAGGTTATTTGCGCCATTTCTTTCTGCCAAATCCTCTCGAGAAATACTTGAAACCATATGTGCTAATCTGGTAGTACTTTCTTTATCCACTAGTTGTTGGTTGATTTTCTTTAGCGGCATATCAATACGTGTATGGGATATTTAATGCCAAAATCTAAATATTGTGTGCATAATTTCATATTTTAAGAGGAAAGGTATGTTTTTTAGATATATAATTTGTAGATAACATAACGTATCATTGGTATTTAAAAAATGTATTTTTGGTACTTTCCCTACAAAAATCGATTGTTGGTAATTTTTTTCATAAAAATGTATCTTTTTTTGCGTTGCACTGATTGTCATTTTACTATAAAAATGTCACAATTTGTCCATAACTGGGACCCTAATAGGTGCTATCACCCCATGTACCACCCACTTGGGAACAATATCTGTTCAGAGATGGTTCCACGCTCCTCAAAATCTCCAATCTCTCGATAAGAGGCCTTGCTCCTGGATGTAGGTTATCATCATATCCAGGACGTTATCCACACGTAACGTATAAACTTGCCGATCGTAATATCACTTTCTTCATCTGTCGATTATTCTTATGACGCCGCTTCTATTATCCACCCGTAACTGCTAACATTTATGCTCGTCATACCAATTTTCGTAGCCACCCAAATGAACATCACCCCTCAAAAAATGATGAGCATACGTAACGCCTAAGATAAGGATTGAACACTTGGGTAAGAGAAGAATTGATGCTTCAGAAACCATCACCGAGTTGTTTTGCTATGCGTTTAACTACTTTTCCGCCAAAATGTTGAGAACCTGTCTGCAGTTTTTACTCATTTGACGGATATTCTTCATATAAACACGCACACATACATATATATATATATATATATATATGTATGTATATATGTGTGTGTGCGTGCGTAATGCATATGTATACGCAAACATGCGCATGTGTGTTTATGCCTGTATGAATGATATGCTTACAGATATACATGTGTCTAAGCAATATTCCTTTGTCTGATTGCATTTATCTATTATGGGTCAGACAAGGAGTAGAAAACCGTAAACAATGTCAGATAAAAGTAAAAGTAAAAACGACAAAAATAAATAGATAAACAGAGGTTCGATCCTACCTGTCAAGAGTGACGTTTGGGCATGAGATGTCTCTGGTATTTTGGCGCTTAAAACAAACCCGTAAGTGCTTTGGGGGAAGCGTTCGCTTCACCGTCACGAGATAACCGCTCCCCACTAACCCCTATCTCTCTCTCTCTCTCTCTCTCTCTCTTTCTCATTTTTCTTTCTTTCTCTTCTTCAAGCAATGTTTTGTCATCTTTACCTTCCCTTCGATTTTCCTCTCAACTCACATAATCTCTTTTTATTATATTTGGTTATTATTTCTTCCTTTTCTCTTTCTTTTCTCTTTCTTTTTAATTATTTTTCTTTCTCGTTTTCGTTTTCAGCTTCTTACATTTGTTATGCTATCAAAAATATGATTTTATTTATTTGGTATTGTTCATTTAATATGTTCGATTTTCATTCACTAAGGAACAGAAGTTAAAACTGTATATCATATCATATATATATATATATATACATATGTGTGTGTGTGTCTGTGTGTATACACACATATTTTAAAGCGTTATAATCTGTTGTGTTTACAAAATGTTCCTACAAAAGTTTTTCTTTGATTAATGTCAGTCGCATGATAAATATTAAACTGACAGCAGCCATCAATACATTTTTGGGATTTTTCTTTTCCAAATAATTCAATAAAATAATGTAAATGAAATTATAAGGAATTTGTTGCAAGGGAGACATCTGAAAAGAATAGCTAAATTAGCAGAAATTAACGGTCTAGAATAATTCCATATACACCAAGTGATTGAGGCTAAACATATATATAAAGAACAAAATAGTAAATTTAGATGGTGCAGACATATCGATTAAAATGATAATCACACATCACGCGAAATCTAGCAGCTTGCTCGCTCAAATAGCGCATAATATCGTCATGACTTGATGGGGAGGCTGATCCACTATGGACTTTTCAAATGGCTAAAATTCAAACCATACAAATCAATGGCAGATGCAGAAAAACTGAATATGTTTTAGAGAATAACAACGTAATAATTTTGTTATTTTGAAATAGAAGCGGATCTCTCAATTCAAACCGAAAGGTCATATGTAAAGTAAACATGGGAAGAGAAAATTGATAGTAGCTTCGAAGTTTCTACTGAATACAGATTAAATTCGAAAAGGAAAAGTAAAAGAATGCATGGAAATAATCTAAAACTTGGGATTAATTTAAAAATAAAATATGGAATATAAAATTGTCATGACTTTTCCACGACTTTACATCAAACTTAAATAAAGAGCTGATCACTAGACACAAACACATACAGAAAGAAAAAGATACAAAAACACAGAACATCAATAAATAATACGCAAGTATACATGCCCACATTAAGGGAAAATATTATTCTGAATTATATAACTAATGGCTGATTAGTCTTTTCCAACTATACACATAATTGCCAGGACGTTTAGCTAATCCATATTGCAGACGTCTAAACAGACACATTTATGTTTCTTCAAAAAGTTAAGCTGTGGCTTATACTGC